AACACAATCTATGAAGTTAACATACCTGATTGGTGTCATTGATAGACACGAAATTCCAAGAAAGTATATGTTCGCTATGCGCCTAAACTGTCAGGAAACACATTACAACTAAGATTAAAAAAACAGAAAAGTCTTGTGGAAAGGACTGCAAGTATTGGAAACGTACATCAGCTGTCACTTCATTAACCATTCTGATCCTAATTCCATAGGTAAAATTCACACTAGTCTTAAAACATAAGTGCATATCACAGACAAGAATATTCAAGACACTCCCACATTATAACGGCTGATAAATCCTAAAATTCCATTGAATTTCTCGGATTCCGAAAAGACTAACTCCTAAACAACATGCTGGAGCTAAGCTAACAACCCTTTGCTAGTGTAGATCCAAACAACAAAGATAAACCATGCGTATATACCTGTTCAAACAAACCCTTGGGAAGAAATGTGAAAACATTATACTTTGTTGTAGAAATCGAATTACCCTGAAACAAATAACCACACATTCATCAGATTAGAAAAACAAAAATTTGACTATAGCACAAACAAAAAAAAATCAGATCGATGACTCGAAACAGCACAAATTCCAATGCGCATATCCCCTAATCGATTCAGAACAATACACGACATTAATTAACTCCGGTATACCTTGAACCGGACGGGTTGATTAGACTCTCGATCATTACAATAAACGGTACGATAAGTCGGAGCCTGTGGTTGAATATGACCCAACGTCACCGTTCGAGACGGCGTCCGTCGATGACTCGCGGACGAATCAACGCTAAAACTACCCGATCGAACCATTTAGGAGGGATTCACCCCGATCCAATCCAAATAGGTATCGTATCGACCTATAAAAATCGAATTATCGACTTCTTCACCACTATTATTCGCGTCGCTTCGTAACCCTAATTGATTCGATTGTGCAAGGTAGAGATCTGAATCGACGGTGGAATCTAGAAACAGAGAGGACCAAAGGAGCAGCTTTCTCTTCCGTTTCAATGGCTTGTTCGTCTTTAGAAAGTCGCTCCCTTCTTTGGCTTGAAATAAAAAATAAAATTAAATGTTTTTGAAATTTTTCATTTTTCCGATACGTATTTTCTTCTTCTACCGAAAGAATTTTTTTTTTTTTTATCCGCGTTGATGCAAGAAAAGGCAAAAAAATAAAAAAGAAACTAAAAACTAAAAATTCCGCGTTGAAGAAATTTCGACGCGCGATTAGGTAGCGTGATCTTCAGATACACACATCTGGGGACCCATTTTGTTTGCTAGTAATATAATAAAAAAAATTTTGAATAGGTAATATAATAAAATTGACTGGTAAACTGCGGTTGAAAAACCAGTTTTAATATAATAAACTTACAGAAATATACATAACATGTAATTTATATATAGAAACCAAAAACTGTATTATCATACAAAAATAATTTAAAACAAATTATACAATAACTAACTAAAATATTTATTTTCAGAGATTTGGAACATTTTTTATACACAAAAAACTTATAAGTGTAAATATATATTAGTTCGGTTCCTATATATATAGTACTTAAGAATATGATATGATAATATTTGATTAGAGATATTTTGTTTTAATTTGTTGTGAAATTTTATTACTGTTGTATAAGAAATTATAATCTTTTTAGACATCCAAAAATGTCACCGCCGCAAGTTATAATCTTGTTTAACCTAAAATATAATACCCAAATTCTTCCAAATATCTAGGTCTCTCATGCCACATCACTAGTCTGACTCCGAGTCTGACGTAACATATTTTTTCTCTACTTTGTGCTCCATGTATTTGTTGGATCCTAAAATGTTTAGTAAATGGCAAAAATCTATTGAATTTCGTCAAAAACTCATGTTGACATTCTACATAAACATATTACACTGGTCCTAATGACTCTGGAGAGTAACAATACATTTACCAAGTAGTTTACCTTCGAAAAAATAGATGACACAGTCTACCAAGTAAGTAGATGTAATGAATTCATGATCTGCCTCAACTTCAAGTTTTTCACGTGTCTAACGATTATCGAACCATTTTAGAACATGTGTACTTTTGATTGTACGGAATCTAGATATGTGTTAGGTTCATCGATAAGATAAATATTCTAAGCCTTTCAAAAGCATATTTTTAGGAAAACAAAAAAAAAACATGTTATAATATACCAGTTTCACTATGAATGTTGATATTCTCTCCTAATTTGAATGTGATGATATACAAAACAAGTACAAAAAAATGAGTAGCAGTTATTACTATGCCGCCCATACCATACCTAATAATCTTCATTTGTATCCTAAATTTAACTCATAATTTATGTGAAGTATATCGACAAATGTTCTTATTTACCATTTTAATTATGGGTCTCCTCCTTTGTGCTTAGTTTCATAATTTATTGGGTTTTATTGTATGATATCCTTTAATTTTTTGGTGTATTTCAAACAGTGCTGTGCCTAGGTCTTTTGGAGCTTGGGACAAAAAATAAAATGTGGCCTATATAATTTAGTTCAATAATTATTTTTTAAGGACCTAAAATAATTATAAAAGAAAAGTGAGCTACAATATAATGTCAAGTGTGTAAATCTATATAATAAAATGAATTATGCTAACATGGGATCAAACTTCAAGCAAAATACATATATGAGACTACTAAAACTTACCGAGACAATAAGATATTTTTAATAATGTGGCCTAAAAATCAAGTCTATAAATTGTGGCTGTGGGCAAGTGCCCTTTATTTTAAGGGGTTAGCACGGCACTGATTTCAAACATACATGTCCAATCTCTGGCTCAAAATGTTGGTTCTTTCTATGGTAAAACTTCACCAGCCAAGCCTAAACGTGTTGAAAAACCGATTGTTGCTCATGAGCCCAATGCTCATGCCCCAATTCCTGAACATGCATGCTTCTGCGGAAACCAGTAAACAACAAGGTTGATTATTCATTCTTTAATAGTTAAGAACAATGATATTTGAATCTTCCTATTGCTTTTGTCTCATTTGATTATTTGTTTTTCCTGTATCACTTAGGGTGGTTCCGATCCATATTTGTTGCAAACTTGTTTATGGATGCGACTATTAAGCAACTCTATGAAACATTTGAAGGTTTTGGAGCTATTAGAAAAAATTGTATCCAATTCAGAAGTTACCCGATCAGTTATTATTGCAATGATCTTAATGGAAAATGTATGTGCATGGTTTTGAAACCTTAGACCCTAATTCATGTAAAAATCTATGACTTTTCAAGAAAAAAAAAATTGTTTTGGGGTTGTGGCATTCGAAACTAGTGGAGCAATAAAAAACTGTCTTCCATGTATGCATTTGTTTGCCCATCAAATTCTCAACTATAACGATTTGAAGTTCTTGTTTTTCTAATTTTGAAACGTATAATTATAGGCTCACAAGGAATCTCTGATCAGAATCGGAAACCGAAGAGCATCTATAGAAAAAAAACGAGGCAAATTTCTTAAGGCAATGATTTATCCAAGATTGTAACTTTATTAAAATGTAAAAATAAAAGCCTAATATTAATTGTTGTTTTTGGATTCTGCATGAGCTAGCAACAATCAAAATGGCAGTAGAATCTCTACAAGAAACAACAATGGTTACTATAGGAATGATAATGGTTACAGAAACGATGGATACAAATCTTGGGGCAGTGGTGTCAATGGAGGACGAAGCTATGGTAGACGGAACAATGAGTCTGATTAGAGTGGTAAAACATACAGAACATGAGTTTAATAGGGTTTTAGATGATTTTGGGTGAATATAAAAATTTGTCATACAATTAAATTAAAATCATGAGATTTAGATTTTTTTTATTTTTATATTTTTATATAACATTTTGAATAACAGTGGATATTTGTTCAATCATAAGATTCTAAACATTTACAAATCTTATAACCAGTAACATTGAATTTTGATTTTTTTCTTTTTTCAAGATTTAATGATATATAATTCATCAGTTCAATACAAATTCAAATGTTTTATTGAATACAAACTAATTTAGTCAGTGTTAAGCGTTTGAAAGATTGGCGCGTGAGAGTTAAATAAATTTCTTATTGGTTTCTCAGAAAACCGCCATGCTGGACTTGTTCGTAGGCTGTGTAAAACGCTGTCGTTTCAACGGTCTTCGTTGTGACATGGGCATCATTATTTTTCTAAGTTAAATAGGCTGGTTCCTTTGAATTATGTTGGTGAGCGACCGATGTGCACAATTCCAAAGATCGTGGAATGAACATTATATTAAAAAAAAAAAAAACAATTGTTGACAAAATACCAATAACAAAAGAAGCTAAACCAGTGATTAAATTTACACCAACTTAGATTTTTCTCGTCTTTAAATCGGTAAACAATAAACTTTTCTTCTTGCCAAAATTTTGAAACAATATACTTCATTGTTCAATCTATAAGAAAATTTTACCAAGAGACAACAAATAAGAGGTTGACCAGAAATAATAATAGCTATCAGTTGAATAATGGCACGATCAGAATTCAGAAATAGTTTAATGGGGTGACATTATTTGATAACAACAGTATGTTGACCAAAAAAAACATTATATAAACATAAATTTCTTTGAACTCCTGCTCTATTCAAAACCCACAGTCCAAGAAACACAAGTTCAAAGATACTACGAAAGACCAAAAATATGTGAAGATATGATGCAAATATGATTTGTGTTAGCTAGGGAAGACTTGCTCAATTCTCACTAGCATATTCCTGAAATCAAGAACTGTATTTGTGTTACAATTATAATCTGCTAAAAGACTAATGTCTGCTAAACTCTGACATAGTGATATTATCAAGCTCATCACTAACGCAACAGAAAGAAAAGAAAATTTCATTCAATTCACTTAATAATAAACAAGAGAGAAATTAAAAGGCTACCAACTTTACAAACATGGATTTGCGTTGGAGCAAAACGTACTACAAAGTTACGATACCAAAAAATTTAAGATACTATAATGATTAATCACCATGAATTTCAAACCCTAGTTAATAGTTATCATCATGCCCACAATATCATAATCTAGAACTAGAAGACGCCTAAATTATCTGTGACCGATGTTTGGTAAGTGCTCGCAGTAACAGAATCAGTGGCTCCCAGAAGTGGATCGTAGCCAGTAAATAGTGTTGAAGAAAACTCCGAATCCATCCAAGAAAGATCCCAAGCACCATCGTTGGCACAAACCCCCAAAATATCAGTTGCCAGCATTGGATCCACCGGGAAATAATCGCAGCCAGAAAACCCTAACGTGAAAGGATCAAGTAGAGAAGAATCCGTAACACTACCAACATCCCTAGAAACCTTCGATGCAGTAGAAGATCCAATGTTGGAAACAGTTTCGTGGGAGCCACGTAATACGTAACCCAACTCGTCAAAGACACCACCAAACCCTAAACTCTGATCTTCGGGCGAAGACACCTTGCGGTTTGAGATGATGGCGTTGTTTTCTGAAACCCTAAGATGATCATCCTCTTCCGTTTCCTTCGGCTTGAGCTTCTTCAAGTTTCGTTTCATTATACTTATCTTTTGTTGCTTGACTCCAACTAAGTGAGAGTCAAGGTTAACGAGATGGTTCCTCAACTCGTCACCGGATAAACCCTTGAGATTAGGGAAGTCGTAGATATCGCAGGCGTGATGCTTCCTCTTGTGATCACTCAACGCATTGAACTTGGCCACGATCTGTGTTAGGGTTTGTGGGTTATGATCATGAGGCTGAGGCCAAACATGGAGATCGTTGTCGGGACCGTAACAGATGAAACCAACAGAGTTACCGCAAAGAACAGAGAGCTCTGTGGCTTTCTTCTTAAAACCAGGAAATCTCTGTTTGAAAAAGCTCTGTTTCTTCTTCCTCTGCAAATCATCATCATCATCATCGTAGAACTTGTTTGTTTTTTTATCACGAGGAGCCATCTTCAAAGAGACAAACTGAAAACTGTGATCAAATAAGTAGAAAAGTTTCGATCGGAGTAGAAACAGAGGGTAACGAAACAACGATGGGAAGTGAAACGAGACTATTGTGGTGCACTGGTGCTATAATATATAGGGCTTTAGGACTCAGTTTTATCTCAATCCCACAACGGTCATAATTTTGTTAAAAACGCGTAAAAAAGAATATCTGATTTTCACGTCCAAAATCTTATTAGATCTTTTCTTCGATCGTAGTGACATTTTCCTTTTTTAGCTTCAACCTTCTTCTTTTTTTCTGTCAAACAAAAACCTATTTTGGTTAGTTTTATGAATTCTAAAAGGATTATATTTGTCCTTAATTAATTTCCAAAAAATTATTTATAAATGGACGCAAGTCTTAAGAGATTTCTATTTTTTCTATTTTTCTTATAATTGCTCACCGGTTTATGGGATAGATGAATTTGGTTTTCTCAATTTGTGTTATTTGACAAAGTCAACTATTTTATTTACACATTTGGTTTAAAAGTTAATAATATTTACACATAGCCCCAAAATCAGAGCACAACCCAACCAACTGATCAGATACGCTTAAACCCTAATGAACAACTTTTGTATTGGTAAAAACCCAGAGAGACGATCAATCTTCCAAATTCTTCAATCCAACACTGCTTTCAGAGATCCCACAAATCTTCCACCATATTCTTCAGATTCGGGTATGAGATCATGGTGATTATGCTTAGTAATAGTGAGAAGGTAAATAAGAGTTGTGACAATGGAATTTCAGGAGAGATTAGAAAGAGCGGAAGGTTACTACAACATTTTAAATTTGTTTATTTTTGATGAAGAGTATGCGGTAAAAGTTGTCCTCCTTTCTTAGTTACTCATATAAACGAAAAATCAAATTTGCTAGTTATGCTAACTTAATTACTAAAATTGTGTCTTTTTAAAACAAATTTAGTAGAATAACACTTTTATTAGTACGATATGTTTCGACTTCCAAGGGTCTGTTTTGGGTTTGAATTCCTCCTAGTCAAAAAAGAGAAATCAAACTCTCCACAATTGGTTTGTGTTTGATCCTAGTATTCATTCACCACTATGTTTTCGGCTAATAGTTTCACTTTTATTCCTCTCTGTTGCATTTTACTTTGCTGCAAGTATTGGATTTGGTAAGGATCCTTTTTGTTCAAAAGATAGTACCAATCTCTGTCTCTGCTTTTATGATAAAACTTGTGAAGAAGATTTAAATCAGTGTTATGAATCCCACCAAGGTGGACCAACTGAATTGAATTATGAACCAAATAGTAAAATGATACGTGGCAAGTGGGACGTAGCTACAGTTGATTGCCTTTAAGACTTTCTGGCCAAAGTTGGTCGTTGGTAGACATCATCATCTTTACTACAGATGGTCGTCTACTAAACTCAAAACAAAATATCATATCGCCTATTTTATTATACAGATCAGTTCAACAAGAAGCGATTTCCAGAAGGTAACTATTGTTGATATTATTACTTTTCTTCGATCTTTTGTATTTTCCATTTCTTCTTTTACAAAGATCTGTGGATTACAAAAATTGTATATTTATTATGTAAATTTTGTGAAAAAATATCATCCGAATTATGAACTCGTGGATCCTCCTCTAGTGATTATTAAATACTACTCTCATGGTTAACAGGAGACTTATGGCTGAGACACTTTTGTATTTTGGAGTTCAGAAGCTTTGGGACCTCCTTGTCCGAGAATCTGATCGATTTAAGGGAGTTGATGAGCAACTCACTGAACTCAAAAGTAATCTGAACTTGCTTAGGTCCTTCTTGAAAGATGCAGATGCTAAGAAACATGCAAGTGAGACGGTGAGAAATTTTGTGGAAGAGATCAAAGAAATTTCTTTTGACGCAGAGGATATAATCAAAACATTTCTTCTCAAGGAAGAGCTTAGAAAAACAAGTGGCATCAAGATGCGTATGAGAAGACTTTCATGTTTTATAGTGGACCGTAAGGCAATTGCTTCAGATATTGGAGGTCTAAGTAAGAGGATCTCCAAGGTGATCCACGATATGCAGAGTTTTGGAGTGCAACAAATGATTGTCGATGGCAACGAATATTCACATCCTCTGCAAGAAAGACAAAGGGAGTTGCGAAAAACATTTCCTAGCAATTATGAAAACGATCTTGTGGGGTTGGAGGAGAATGTTAAGTTATTGGTTGGCTATTTGGTGGAGGAAAGTAGCAATCAAGTAATTTCTATAACTGGGATGGGTGGTATTGGTAAAACTACTCTTGCTCGACAAGTTTTTAATCATGAGATGGTAAAAAACCATTTTGATGGAGTTGCATGGGTGTGTATATCACAACAGTTTACAAGGAAATATGTGTGGCACACGATTTTGCAGAAGCTTAGTCCACAACATGATGAGTATAGAGACTCAAATATGACGGAAGACGAACTTCAGGACAAACTCTTTCGACAGTTGGAAATCGGTAATTCTTTGATTGTCCTGGATGATATTTGGAAAGAAGAAGATTGGGACATAATAAAGCCTGTGTTTCCATCAAAAACAGGTGACATCTTATTCTTAAACTTTGACTATACTTGATTACGAAAAATAGAGCTTGACAAATGCGTGTAATATTTCATTTTGTTTAAAATATATTGTAGGATGGAAGGTACTACTTACTTCACGCAACGAGAGAGTAGCCTTACATGCAGATCCAACATGTGCCACTTTTAAACCAAAGTGCCTAACAATTGAAAACAGTTGGATACTTTTCCGAAGGATAGCATTTCCTATAAAAGACGACACAGCAAGTAAGCTTTCAAGGAGGATATATTTTTTACCTTATTCAAAATAGAAAAAATTCTTTTACGTTTAGTTGCATCATATCTTGATTTCATAGTCCAAAAACTACATGGTTTTGTTGTGCAGAATTTAAGGTTAATGCAGAAATGGAAGAGATGGGTAAGCAGATGATCAAACATTGTGGAGGTTTACCATTGGCTGTTAAGGTGTTAGGTGGGTTGTTAGCTGCACAATGCACATTTCATGAGTGGAAAAGGATAAATGAGAATATTAGAGCTCACATCGTTGGAGGGACTACCTTCAATGACATAAATATCAGTTCAGTTTATCATGTTCTAAATCTGAGTTTTGAAGAGCTGCCTGTTTATTTGAAGCACTGCTTCCTCTATCTTGCCCATTTTCCAGAAGATTTTCCGATAAATGTTGGGGTTTTGTCCTACTATTGGGCTGGAGAAGGAATACAAAGACCGAGGTATTATGATGGAGCAACCATTCGAGAGGTCGCAGATGAATACGTAAAAGAATTGGTGAAGAGAAACATGGTTATTTCTGGAAGAGACGCTAGAACTTCAAGATTTGAAACATGTCACTTGCATGATATGATGAGAGAAGTTTGTCTGCTTAAAGCTGAGGAAGAGAATTTTGTACATATTGTTGATAAACGCCTACCTACAAAGTCTCAATCTCCTTGTAAATCTCGCAGAATTGCAGTACACCAGCTTGATGAAACATATCATCCTAAGGGGGAGATGAATCCAAAACTTAGATCTCTCTTGTTTTTCAGCTTGGTAGAAGGTTGGATGCCATCGGATTTATTGTTTACAAGGTTACAATTGTTGAGGGCATTAGATCTCTCAAGAACTCAGTTTGAAGGAGGGAATTTACCCTCTAGCATTGGGAAGCTCATCCACTTGAGATATTTGAGTTTATACCAGGCACATGTAACTCATCTACCTTCCTCCATGCGGAACCTGAAGCAGCTGCTCTATTTAAACCTATGTGTAGATGCGAGATCTCCAATCTACATGCCCAATTTTTTGAAAGAGATGCGAGAATTGACATACCTCTCTTTTCCGTTTCTGATACATGATAAGGTAAAGATGGAATTAGGGAATCTAGTCAACCTGGAGACATTGGAGAATTTCTCAACAGAGCATATGAGAGTGAGGGACCTCCAGAATATGACACGACTCAGAGCCCTCTCTATCTGTATCAGAGGCGGGTGTACCGTGAAAACTCTATCTTCATCTTTACGTGATTTGAGACACTTGGAAAATCTTACTATTTATGATTTCCATGTGCATGCTCCCACTAAAGATGAACAAGGATTTGTTTTAGATTCCGTTCATCTCCAACACCTAAACTTGACACTATATATGCCAAGGTTACCTGATGAGCAATATTTTCCTTCTCACCTTACAACCATATCTCTTTGTGAATGTCGTTTGGTGGAGGATCCAATGCCAATTCTAGAGAAGCTGCTTAACTTATATGATGTCAGTTTATTTAGTCAATCTTTCTGTGGGAGGAGAATGGTTTGCTCGGGCGGTGGATTTCCTCGGTTGCAGAACCTAATGATATGTGGAATAGAGGAGTGGGAAGAGTGGATAGTAGAAGAAGGCTCCATGCCACTTCTTCATTTTTTGTTTATTAGTTGTTGTCCAAAGTTTAAAGAACTTCCTGATGGTCTGAGATTTATCACTTCCTTGCAAGAGCTCAATATTGACACAAGTTTGAAGGAGAAATTGTCCAGAGGAGGAGAAGAATACTACAAAGTCCAGCACATTCCTCTTGTTCGATTTCAATAAGACTCTCCAATAATCATTCAACAAACCCATTGGAGATTCAGCTGCATAGTGCTTTGTCGGAGGATTTAGGTGAGGACATCTTCTCTTAAATAATGAACATTAAGGATGACTTATAACAATCCTGTTTATAACATTTTTACTGTTATCAGTCATAAATTGATTGATGATTAGGATTTGCTCACTTTTTGTGCTACAATTTAGAAGTATCCATGGTCACAGTATAAAATTGTTAATTAATGCCACAATATAGTTATCTCCTCTGTCCGTAGCTTTTAAGTGTTTGTGAGTTTTCACATGTTTGCAGCTAAAATGAATTTAGTCTTCTGTGTGGTTTCTCTCCTAAAGGCATATCGTTTTACTTATGCAGAGAAAGAAAAGTTTTGCCTCTTATGGACTTCAAAATGAGAAAATGGGAGGTTAATCTATCTCTCGAGGAGGTCCCTCCCTAGCTTCCTTAACCAGCTTTAAGCATCAGTCTTTCAAGGGAAGGAATGCAAGATAAGGTTGAAGAAACAATTTGCTGAGATGGGTAAGAGATGACATAGTGATGGAGTGATTGTTATCTTTGAAGTAGGTAGGGAAGACTTACTCAATTCTCATTAGCACATTTCTGAAACAAGAACTCTAGCTTCCAAGTTCGCTTTCTCATCGACTGTATAGCTCGAAGTGTGCCTTTTGCTGTAGTTGTAGATGATCTTGGTTTCTTACGAAAAACTCTCTTTTTAACTCCTTTAATTTCTTACATGCAGAGACCACATGGTTTTAGCTTTTGGAGCTTTGCCGTGGGCTATGTGGATAGATTTCTTACTAAGTGATTGACTTTTTGTTTTGTGTCAATATAAATCTGAATTTTGTGAAGACTAATGTCTCATAAACTCTGACACAATGTGATATTCTCAAGCTCAGCATTAGAGCAACAGAAAGAAAACAAAATTTCATTACATTCCCTATAATCAATAATAAAAAAGAGAGAAAAAGCTACCAACTTTACAAACATGGATTTGCGTTGGAGCAAGAAATACAAGCCAAGATACGATAATAATCGATCACCGAGAATATAAGGTGAATTACATTGCTCAGTAGTTATCAGTGCCCTCATAATCTAGAACTAGAAGACAGAGCCTAAATTATTTGTGACCGGCGTTTGGTAAGTCAAAGAATCAGTGGCTCCCAGAAGTGGATTGTAGCCAGAAAGAGTCCAATCATCAGTAAATAGTGTTGACGAAAAATCAAAATCTAGCCAAGAAGGATCCCAAACACCATTGTTGGCACAGACCCCCAAATTACCTGTGACCGCCATTGGATCCGCCGGGAAATAATCATGGCCGGAAAACCCTAATGTGAATGGATCAAGAAGAGAAGAATCTGAAACACAAACATCCCTAGAACCTTTATTGGAAGCAGTAGAAGATCCAAAGTTGGACACTGTTTCTTGGGAGCCACGGAAGACGTAACCCAACTCGTCACCAAACCCTAGTCCATCTTCCGACGAAGCCACCTTGCAGTTTGAGATGGTGGCGTTGTCTGAAACCTTAACATGATCATCTTCCGTCTCCTTTTCCTTGGGCTTCTTCAAGTTTCGTTTCATTATACTTATCTTGTGTTGCTTGATTCCGACTAAGTGTGAGTCAAGGTTAACGAGATGGTTCCTCAACTCGTCACCGGATAAACCCTTGAGATTAGGGAAGTCGTAGAGATCGCAGGCGTTACGCTTCCTCTTGTTATCACTCAACGCATTGAACTTGGTCACGATCTGTGTTAGGGTTTGTGGGTTATGATCTTGAGGTTGAGACCAAACATGGAGATCGTTGTCGGGACCGTAACAGATGAAACCAACAGAGTTACCGCAAAGAACAGAGAGCTCTGTAGCTTTCTTCTTAAAACCAGGAAATCTCTGTTTGAAAAAGCTCTGTTTCTTCCTTTGCAAATCATCATCAGACAACTTGTTTGGTCTTTTATCACGAGGAGCCATCTTCAAAGAGAGAGAGAGAAGATGAAAAACTTGAATGATCGTAAGATAGAAATAAAAAGCAGAAAAGTTTCAATCGTAATGTATTGATGAAAAGTGCAAAAGAGAGGGCATTAGTTCTGTAATATATAGAGACTAGAGAGATTCAGTAAGATGATGCTTCCTCTTAATCACACAACGGTCATAAGTTTTGTGAAAACGTGTACAAAATCTAATTAGATCTTCTCTTAGATCGGTAGTAGTGACAGTGTTGCAAATTTTCCTTTTTGTTAGCTTCAACCCATTTTTCATTTATTAGCTATACGATTATATTTTCCTTAGTTTCCAAAAAAAATCATATGTATAGTTTGTTATTTCTTCTTATTTTCTTTAAAATATTTTTACAAATCGATGCAGTCTTAAATGATTTCTATTTTCTATATTTTCTGATGATTTACTCATCGGTTTATGGGATAGAGGAAAACGGTTATCTCGATTGTGTTATTTTGACAAAGTCAACTATAGTCTTAAAAGATAGATCGTCACAAGCTAAACATCGAATGAGGCAAAAAATATGAACCAGTTCTGCATTTGCTATCTATGTGCTCCAAAATCTGCCAAGTTTATAAAAAGGATTGCTATAGTGAGTCAGGGGCCCGTAACCTCTCTCGATCAAGGATCCGACATATGATCAATCCCGGGGGATTTGACATCCCTCCCAAGCTGAGTATTAAGCTAGAGGTTATAGCTAGGAAACGTAACATATGGAGAGTACTAGGAAGCACCACTAGCCCAAGATTAACTTAATTGCTACATCGGGTTGGAAAGAAAGAAAACTTACCATTTTGATTGGGTTTGGGCCTGCAAAAGACATACTTAGCCGGATTACATGAAGAGTACCAGACATGAGCTTGGAAGAGTTTTGGTTGGTTATCAAAAGGATCCATAACCTCAAACGTGATGAGAAACGTGTACCCATTACACACATACATATTGGCTTTGACAACCTTGACAAATTCATACTTTGTACACTCCACTTCATTGTAGCCGTCAAGTGATTTCTCAGACAGCCTACTAAGTAAATCCCCAGTGGTTTCTGGCTCCTCAACGAAACGGTTTGCATTGAGATCAACCGGATAGTAATTGAATAGGCACCGGAACAATGTGAAATCAATATCGAACCCCTATCACACACAAAAAAAAAAAATTAACTCTCATTTTCACAAACAATTTGAAATAAAAACACTGAATGATTACGTCAAAGTAACCATCAATAAATAAATAAATAAATAAATATATATATATATATATATATATATATAAATAAATATATATATAGATACCTCGCTTTCTTCGATTTGTTCTTCCATCATGTAGAGTTCTTGCTCAATTGTATATTGAGGCTCATCTTTCTCGGTTCTTGTGATGTATGGATGATCCTCGCGTTCAAATTCATTAGGTTTACACATCAACTGTGCATAAAAAAGACTGATATCGCTTATCATCAATCAAGGAACCGATGGAAGAATCCTTACTGGAAAAATGATTTCTTGTCTAGACTATATATTTTTTTATATATTTTAGAAGAAGAAACTATATATGAAAAAAAATTTACTATACGTTTTTATATGTAGAAAATCTTTTTTTGATTTGTTGAAATTATACATAGAAAAAATTACATTCAACAAAAGGAAAAATTCAAAAATCTAAAATCAAAAAGAAAAATGTGAATGACTGAATCTAACTAATAAGATAAAAATTATAAGAAAATGGAAACAAATCATTTTTTGGGGAAGTTAATGAGATTGATATTGGAAAACTAGCATAACTCTGATCCTTGATTCCTAAATTTTAAAATTGAAAATAAAAAACAAATTTGGGTCCTGGGCATGGTGGAAGGTTAATTGATTATTAAATAAAACAACATAAATAAATTCAAATTATATCATTCTTATGCATACCAACACAAGTAATAATTATTTTTTCATTTTTGAAATTGCGATTGTTTTGTACAATGTTCAAGAAAGCGCTAGGCGCCAAGCGGGCGGTGACCCAGTGCCTAGTGCCTAGAACGCCTAATCGGGGCCTAGGCGATTTTTAGGCGGTTTAGACGTTTATAACGTAAAATATTATAAGTATAATACTATATGTAAAAGTTATATAAAATATCTATATAAAACTAAAAATTATGAAATTATAAGCCAAAACTAGATAAAACACTTATTTATATTTATATTAAACAATATATGAATATTTATAACTATATCTATAAATAAAACTCTAATTGAAATTGAAAAAATACATTAAACAAAATCTATGTAATTTTAGGCAGTCAAGGCGGTTATCTAGGCGTCGCAAGAGAGCCTAGCGCCTAGTCGGGGCCTAGGCGACCGCCTAGACCGCTTTTTAGAATACTGGTTTTGTATAGAAATGTGTTTGACCCATTTGGAACATCCTAGTAATCTAAAAGATATTTTGGTTCACTGTCTCGACTATTAAAATCATTGCCCGGTAAACCATTTTTCTCAATTCGATGATATTAACTATGCAGCTAATAAAATATAAAATATCCAATAAAATAATATAAATTATGATAATTCATGGACCTAACCATTGAACCATTCAAATTACATGATACATTAAACTATTTAAATACAACCATTAAACCAAGAGTATCTGATCCACAGTTTTCTTCTTCCCTCAGGATATTTTAGCAAACTGTTGCAAGTCCTCTTTGTTAGACAAGATTTCAAAGGCCTCTTTCAATGCCTACAATGCATTAAAAGAAATTATGGCCATTCAATATATATAAATTATATATAATAATAATATGTGAAAAATAAAAGAAACAAGTGAACACACTCAGACCTTATGGAAGATGGAGTGGTTCTCGAAACACTCAGTGACATAGACCATGTACTTATTGTGTAGTTCAATTAGTAGCTGATTATTAGCTGCGTCGTCAGCTTGTTTGATAAGGGCCCGTCTCTCTGTGGTAATATGCTGTATACACATTTTCAGTTAAAAATTAAACCAAATGTCATGTAGCAATTATACAAAAAAGATTTTGGAAACAAACTAAGTGAGTTTAAAATAATTAAAAATAAACCTGCTTGAATAAGTCTGCAACATGTTCCAAGCTTTGAGGGATTGGACTATAAAGCCTGTACATCCTAGAGAGATCATCCATCTGAAAGTATATATGTATATATAGCAATGCCCCGTCAAAAAGATACAATTTTAGTTTGATAATTTGTTTACGAATTTGATAAAGATTTGGGTAATATATAGGAGAGGAATTAAACAAGCCAACAAAACTTTACGGTACAACGACGTCTACCTTTTTATCCCTTAGCAATGCACAACAGCCTGAGTACTCATTTTCTAGAAGCTGTTTTGCAACCACTACCAACAATTCATTTTGTACTTTCTACATTCACAAATAAACAAACAAGCCAATAAACTTTAGCATATAACTAAGTTTAAACGCAAAAAAAAACTTCCTTCGTAAAAATATGATTAATTCCAAATAAATGAATAATTGTATCATTACAAACCTCAACTAGTTTGGGTTCGGTGCTTGAATGAAGGTAGTGAGTGACTCTCTCCCTCTCTCTTTTTAGACAGTCCTCTGACTACATACAATATAAAACTATTGACGTAACTATATATTTACTTTCCTGAATCGAATGAAAACATAGTCGGAGACATGCCTTTAGCATGTAAGCAGGGCAAGAATCCTCATTGATCCACTTTGACGCCTTGCGAGAATAGTATGAGGCTGTATCTTGAAGCATGAAGCTTTCAAAATCCGCTTCATATTTTTTCATAGTTCCCATCCCATTCTCTACATAGACATCTAATACATTTTTCACTAGTTCCCTATCAATCTGTTCGCCCTCACGTTCTTTATGAATCTGGAAATACAAATATTTTTAGAAAAAAAGGATCATGCAGAACCAAGAATATTTTTTCAATACATATACCAATCCTTACAAGCGCAATTACAGCTTCTGTGGCCGTGGACTGCACCTCACGATAAACCTGAAGTACATAATTACTTAGACCATTACAAAATACTTTTGAGGCAGTGGAAAATTAGAAGATATAGGAATATGCATGACAAACCAGGTTGTTGAAACATGTCAAGCCAACTTCCCTCAGTGATGGAACGTTTTTCCGAATAACATAGTAACGGTCTATATAATTGAAGAATCTGATAAACCATCTAACCAGAACTTTATGGTTATCCCACCTCTTAACAAGCTCTCTTAGCATATATTCATCATGCTTCTCCCTTAACAACGGCAACACCTAAATAACAGATAAAAAAACAAGGAAGATTAAACTTTTTGCTTAAGTGAAATTAAAATAAAAAATGAACATGTCTTCTTCGCACTATATCCAAGAATCAAGGCCGACCAATTTTTTTTTTTTTGTTACTCACCGTTTGTGTAACATAATCTTCAATCATTTCACGATAATTATCATAAATCTGTGCTGAGTAATCAGGTTTCTGGGTGCACATACTGTAGGCAGTCCTGTGAATCACATAAGAAATCACTGTGGTAAGTACCCGTACACAACAAACATAAAAAAACATTACTTATATAAGACGACCAACGTACGTGTAAAGATTCATATATTGGTTAGATTCAAATGGTGGTTCAGGCTCTCCTTCTAGAATCCTTATAAACTTGGTAACACCTTTCTCCAAGTAGGACCATCCTTCCTCAAATTTAATCTCTGTGTGTTGGGCCATCCTTCTAAAATGTGTTTCAAGCTCTCTTGAATCAAATTCTATTTCAAAGTAATAAACAGAGAATTTAAATATATTTGTCTTTTTATAAATGGCAGAAATCAAGATAAATTACATTAAAATTTAGCGCTTGTGAGGTAATTATCGATACTTTTGTATCCACAATATTGATATTCAAAAGTAAAACTAATTAGGCTACCAGAATAACAACGACAATCTTTGAAAATAATCAAGATTAGTGTTGTAGAATCTACAAATCAAAGGAGAATCACTATCTCGATCAAAATCATGTACATAAACACGAAAACATAAGACTACGTAAAGATTCCGAACAGTAAGAATTTGATTTATTTCACCTAATCCGAATAGCTTATCAGAAATGAGAAGTTTGCTACTGAAGGAGGAAAATTCCTAGAAAATATCTTATATAAGATTGTAAAGTTTAATTCTTCTGAAAGAGATATGAGAAGTTTCCCACATTTGAAGCATTATTACACTTCTGCCTCTTAAATTGATTTGGTGCATTAATCATTCTGAGATTATCTTACTTGAAAACACAATTATATGCATTTACAACACAATTATATTAAATAACATAAAATCCAACCCAATTCAAAATATTATTTTATGATTTAACCAATTACTTTTAATACTTATGATTTATGAAATGCAGATTTTAGTATTTATCATTTTAAATATTGTATAAGGAATCATACATAATTAAATTTAATGAAATAAAATTCTGAACTTAGTTTTGAATATATTTTATACTTAATCATTGAGTAATATATAAGATAAGTTATTTCTCTATTTTAAATTGTCAATATATTGTAAGAATTATTAATGTAGCCAATTAACTTTTCGAAGATTTTTTTCCATTAAAAATACTTATATGCATTAACATTATATAATAAAATTCAACCTTATTAGAATTATCTTAACTCTAATATCAACTCTTTATTTTTCTAAAAGAAGTTTTTTTTATGATAAGGTAAATATTGAGGAAAGTTAACTTTCTTTTGGGTTTTATATTTTATATTTTTTCAGAAGAATTGTTATTTATGTAAATATTACTCCATATAGCATATAAAATTTGAGAAATAATAAACGAATTAACTAGTTGTGGCTTTTTCTTTTTTCAATTCATATTTATTTATATGAATAATGTATACATATTACAGATTTTCATACATTTTGATTTTTAACCATTAAATAATAGATAAATTAAAGTATAAGATGATCTACGAACACTCCAATTTCTAGTTTCTACTACAGAGCGCAAATCTTTTATATTTCAGTTATATTCGTCAAGAATTGACAGAGATTACGAATCACATAAACTTTTGAAAATAGCATTACGGATCTCGTACTTGAAAAATGATTTTATTTTAAACTACCAAATTTGTAGCGAGACTAGCAAGCTCATTATTATTGACCCAGATTTTCAAACTTCAATGCAAAAACAATATTAAGAAGAAGGAAAAAAAATCTACTAAGCTTTTTTTTTTTTTTTGATAAAAAATATAGGTCTAAGCTTTTCACTTCCTTTACGTAAGTGTATCTTTATCACTTCAGCTTCTTATTTCCTCCATCACTCTTTAAGATTTGAAATGCCTCTCTCAATACCTACAATGCATCAAAATTAAAGAAACAATGGCCACTCAATATATAATACCGTGGAAAAAAATAAAAGTTCAAACGCTAAAATCTCCCTTCGAAAAAATATGATTAATTCCAAATAATTATATCATAACGAACCTCAAATAGTTTGGGTTCAGTTGTTGGATGAAGGTAGTGAGTGACTCTCTCCCTCTCCCTTTGTAGATATTCTTGAGGCTGCAATATAAAATTACTAACATTCACTAATATACTTTCTTGAAATCGAATTGAAAAACAGTCCATGAAATGATATCTAGAGATATGCCTTTAGCGTGTAATCAGAACAAGAATCCTCCTCGATCCACCTTGTCACCTTGCTAGAATAGTAAGATGCAGTATCTTGAAGCATGAAGCTTTCAAAATGGGTTTTGTCAACCACGCGCCCCCAAACTTCTCTCCCGAAGCGAATTTGCTGCGACAACCCTAATCCCCGCCGCCCTTGCCTCTCCGGTGCCCGGTTCCGACCGACACTGTGAGAGGGCTCTTGGTTACTTGCTCTCTTCTTCTCTCGGGCTCTTGAAGGCTCCGGAGGGTAGTTTCTTCTTTGATTCTCGTGGTGTGTGTTGAAGGTTCTCCGTGGGCGGCAGCCGGTTTTCCGGTGACTGGTTTCTCCTGCCCTCTCCCTCCTTTACCTGTAGACGGTGCTGGATAATGGTTGAGGCTCTCATCTCCGGTCCAAGTGTCTCGCTTCTCTTCGGCAGAGCAAGCTTTTGTTTGTTGATCTACTCTAGATGTCCTTCCTCCTGGTGATTTCCGTTGGTCGAGTCGCGGTGGCGCCTCTCTTCCTGGCTCGGAGTCATTTTTTCCAAGATCTCTCTTGGTCTAACCACCGCGTTTTGGCTCGTGTCTACCGGAGTCTCGGGTTTCTCTGAGTCGGGAGTTCGCCTTGAGGACAGCTTGCCCCCGCTCGCCTGAAGCCTCTGTCCGCTCCGCGCGAGTCGATTTCGTGTGTTGGAGTTTGAAATGAGAGGTTTTCTTTAGCGCAGTGCCTGGTTCTCCAGCTTTGGTCAGTGTCTCCGTTGGCCCGCTGTTGCTTCTGATGCCTCTGCCTCTCTTTTCTGTTTCTCCTCCACATAGGTAATCAAAGTTTGGCTGTTATTGGTTTGTCTAAGGTCGTCTAGTTGTCTTCGTCGAGCTTGATTTTAGGAGAACCATGTCTCTGTTGGCCTATTCTGCTTATGGACAGTAGCAGAATTTTTAGGAGCATGGTTCTTGTGGCTGGTTAAGCTTTGTCGACGATTTGGATGCTCTTTGCCTCCTTTGTGCAGCTGCAATGGTGTTTTTAAGTGGTGGCGTTAGCTATCGGTGGTAGCTTGTTACCTGCTACTTTAGAGATCTCCGTTTGCATTTCGGCCCTTTGGTTCTGTTCAAGACTTGTTCTTTCCTGTGGCTTCCTTTTGATGGTGTTTTTGTTTTGAAGCTAGCTTGCTTTCCGTGCGTTTTCCTTTGTGTTTTGGATTGAGCTTTAGAGGAGCTAGTAGGGCTAAAGACTTCTGATGCAGTGGTGATTTTTCTTATCTTGCTCTGCGCTGCTGACTTCGAGGAGGAACTTGGTTAGAGGGAGCTTGCATCTCTGGTTTTTGGCGTGTGAGGTTCCGTTTCTAGGATAGCTCATGGATTTAATCTTTTAAATCGCTCTCACTTGAAGCAGGGAGAGTAAGTGATCGTTGATTTGGAGTGTTCAAGCCGTTGACGGCTCGGTCTCGGGTCTCCTGCGAAAGGCTTCTGAAGCTCTTGGTCCGTAACTTTAAGGTTTTTCACTTTAAGCAAAAAGCCCTTCTACTTTGCATTTTCACTCGGGAAGGATAGATCAGAACGTAATCGCTTCATCTTTTCCCTTTGCTTCATAGCTTTATTTACGGGGTTGAGAAGATGGACCGAAAACTTGGTTTTAATTAACCGTATGTTATGTTTCCATGTTTTTATTCTTTTTGCCATGGATCCATATGCATAGGTTTCAAATCTATGTTTGTAACCTAAACTTTTTTCATTATCTATGAAATATTTACAATTTAGCAAAAAAAAAAAATGAAGCTTTCAAAATCCTCTTCATATTTTTTTATAGATCCCATCCCATTCTCAACAAAGACATCTATTACATTTCTCACTAGTTCTCTATCAATTTGTTCGCCCTCACGTTCTTTATCAATCTGGGTAATACAAATTTTTGTTAGATAGAAAAATCAAGAATCCGTATTTTTTTTCATTAAAGATTCCAATACCTTACAAGTGCTATTACAGCTTCTGTGGCCGGGGAATGCATCTCATGGTAAACCTGAAGTATATAATTGCATAGACTGTTACAATATACTTTTGAAAAAAATGAAAAATTTAAAGCTATAGAAATGTGCATGACAAACCAGGTCGTGGAAGTATATCAAGCCAACTTCCCTCAGTGATGAATTTATGCGTTTCCAAGGAAAAAAGTGTCCTTCAAGATAACCAAAGATTATGGCTAACTGTCTAACCATACGTTTATGGTTATTCCACCTCTTAACAAGCTCTCTCAACATATATTCATCATGCTTCTCCCTTAAAGATGGTAGCACCTAAAGTAAACATAAAACAAATAGTAACCTGTTAAGTTAATAAAAAAATAAGAAGATGTCTTCTTCGCACTATATCCAATAATCAAGCCCAAACAAATTTGTTTGCTACTTACCGTTTGCATAGTATAATCTTCAATCACTTCGCGATACTTATCGTAAAGCTGTTGTGAGTAATCAGGTTTCTGGGTGCACATATGGTAGGCAGTGCTGTGAATCACATAAGAAATCACTGTGGTAAGTACTCGTACACAACTATTAACAATAACCTATCATAAGACTCCAAACATTACATAAGACGACCAACGTACTTGTAAAGTTCCATACAGTGCTGAGTTTTAAGTGCCTGTTCAGGCTCTCCTTCTAGATGTCTTATCAGTCTGGTAATACCTTTCTGCAAGTAGGACCATCCTTCCTCAAATTTAATCGCTTCTTGCGCCATCCTTCTAGAACGTGTTTCAAGCTCTCTTGGATCAAATTCTATAATAAAGTAGTAGACACAAGAAATTAAAATGTTTGTTTTTTTATAAAGGGAGAAACTAAGATAATTACATTAAAATTTATCTCTTGAGAGGTAATTATCGATACTTTAGCATCCACATTATCGATATTTAAAACTAAAAGTAATTAGACTACCAAAGAACAACTACAATCTTTGAAAGTAATCAAGAACGGTGTTGTAGAATCTACAAATTATAGGAGAACCAATATCTCGATTAAAATCATGTATGAACATAAACACGAAAACCTAGCTTAGACTTCACGTACATGAAGATTCCGGACAGTATGCGTTCACCTAATCTGATTAGCTTATCGGAAATGAGAAGCTTGCTAGTGAAGAAGAAAAAGGCCTAGACGATTTCTTGTATAAGATGGTAAAGTTTCTTCTACAAGAGCTATGACAAGTTTCCCCCATTTGAAGCATTACACTTCTGCCCTTTAAATTGATTTGGTGCATTAAATGATTTGGTGCATTCTGAGATTTCTTACATAAAACACAATTAAATGCATTTACAGCTAAAAACTAAATTACAAAATTCAAAACAGAAAATCCAACCCAATTCAAAATTTTATTTTACTATTTAATCAACTACTTTAACACTTATGATTTATGAATATGTTAATTAACGTATTTATCATATAAAATATTGTATAAGGAATCATACATGATTAAATTTAATGAAATTAAATTCTGAACTTAGTTTAAATATATTTTGTACTGAATCATTAAATGATATATAAGATAAGTTATTTTAAATTGTCTCAATGATATATATTGTAAGAATTATTAATGTAGCCCATTAAATTTTCTAAGATTGTTTCCATTAAGAATACTTCTATGCATAAACTTCGAAATTAAATATAATATAATCCAAACTTATTTAAACTATTTAACTCATTATTTTTCTAAAAGAGTTTTTTTTTTATCATAAGATTAACAATGAGGAAAGTTAACTTTCTTTTTGGTTTAATTTTTTCATATTTTTCAACATACTTTTTATTTATGCATGTAAATATTAATCCATATCACATATAGCATATCAAAGTTTGAGAAATAATGAAAACATTAAGTAGTTGTTGATTTTTCTTCTTCCTTTATATGGATTCTGTATTATATTCCAATTATATATATATAATTTAATTAAACTTTTGAATATTGTTTTTTACATTTTGAGTCTTAACCAATAAATAATAAATAAAGTCAGCTTTTTGAAAATGCAGCAAAAACAAAAAACAACTTAATTAGGATTTTTTGTTTCCGTTTGGGTTTGGTTCTGTTCAGTTAATTCGGTTTGTGAAAATTCTAGCCAAACTCAAACCGAAGTTAGTTTGGTTTGGTTTGATTTAGTGTAATTCAGTTCGGGTTAGTTCGGTTTGGTTTACTACCATTAGTCATATTTAATTTATCTAGCTAGAAAGTGTAATCTATACTAGTATTTTTGCAACACTTTGGTGACGGGTGGGCAAAAATGCTTCCGGGTATATCGGATACCCGACCCGTTTTTAAAATTCCTTCACAAAAAAATTTGTTGGCTCGGGTTATATTTAACTCAACTCATACACCGGATATTCCATATTTAATAATTTAGATATTTAGAAGATTTGATTAAGATTTATAATTATGATTCTCCTATCATTTTTGTTTGATTTGTTTTTAACTGTTTTGAATCATCATATAATACATAAAGTAAAAAAAAAAAATCAATTTTTTTTCTGCATATACTGTGATTCGAAATTTTAAAAACGGACATATATTATCTAATTGACGAAAATGTGTGTTCAACGTTCTACATCGATTAAAATATTTAGACAATGATTCAGAATCTTATCATAAATAAGAACATTAATAAAATAAATGAGTTTTTTTGGCCGGACGGGTTTTTGAATCAACAATAATAAAAAGATTAAAATATCATTAATCTGCCGCTTCAATACGGATTAAATCCTTATTTTTTTAATACCACAAATATTAGACATATTAAATCAGTCTCATTTAGAAAAGATTGTATAAAACCAAAAATTGTTCCGTGGTATAATGTTACTTAATAACAATATTTTTAAACTATCATTAACATGCCGTTTTAATACATATTAAATCTTTAGTTTATTAAAATATAAATGTCTTAGAGAATGATATGATTTGTAAACTTTTATATATAATAAATAATCATTAAATTTTAAAATAAAAACAAATCACGGGACGGGTTATATTTCGGAAAGGATTTATATGGCCGACGAATTTGAATCAATATTTGTATACCGCTTTAATACGGGTTAAATCCTCAGTTTATTAATAATTGTCTCGTGGACTCGTGGTATACCGTTACTTAATAACAATTGTAAACTATAATATAAATAAATATGTTACAAGGATATACAATTTACAAAATATTTTTATACTAACTTTAAAATTAAATCATCCCGCGGTGTACCGCGGGTTAAAATCTAGTTGTGTTATTATAATTTTATATCAAACAATTTTTAATTTCCGTAACTTTTAAATTCATGGCTTAAAATTAAAGATTTTGGGACTAAAAGGATTAAGTAGATTTATTTTATATTATATAATTATATCAAAAACAAATTAAGCATGAATTTAGATTTTAGAGTTATAATATTATTTATTCTATAATATCTTTCAAGCTCTCTTGAATCAAATTCTATAATAAAGTAGTAGACAAAAAGATAATTAAAGTATATTTGTTTTTCATAAAGGGAGAAATTAAGATAATTACATTAAAATGTAGCTCCTAAGAGGTAATTATCGATACTTAAGCATCCGCATTATCGATATTTATAACTAAAAACCATTTAAAGTCTACCAAAAGAAGAACGACAATCTTTAAAGGTAATCAAGAACAGTGTTGTAAAATCTAAAAATCATAGGAGAACCACTATCTCGATTAAAACATATACACGAAAACCTAAGACATCACGTACATGAAGATTCCGAACAGTATGAAAATGATTTCACCTAATCGGAAATGAAAATTTTGCCAGTGAAGAATAAAATGCCTTAGAAGATTTCTTATATAAGATTGGAAAGTTTCTTCTAAAAGAGCTATATATGAGAAGTTTCCCCCCCCATTGATTGGGTGCATTAATCATTCTGAGATTTTCTTAAATGAAAAGACAATTAAATTCATTAACAATTTCCAACTAAATTAAATAACATAAAATCCAACCCAATTCAAATTTTTATTTATGATCTAATCAATTAATTTTAATGCTTATGATTTATAGATATGAAATATAATTAAATTATTTCTCATTTAAAATATCATATAAGGAACTAGATATGGTTGCCCGGGTTGTTGATCAAATTATTAATTTTTATTTTTGTAAGCTTAACTAAAATTATATAAACATATATTTTCTAATTTAAGAAAATGCAGCATTTTAATTATTTTTTAAATATAGATATATTATGCATAATGCGCAATATAAAACACTATTTGTAGTTATGTTATAACTACCCTGCGAGAAAGTCTCATATCTCTCTTTTTCTCTCATTAGATTTCTCTTATTTTTTACGATCTCCTATTTCTCTTTCCCTCTCTCCCTCTAGTTGGTAATTTTTAATGTTGAAATTAATGTAGTTAGACTCAATTAAATTTGATGGCATTTGAAATATTATTATATCAAAGATATTTGATAATGATGTAAGATATGAAACAATAATTAAATACAAGCTATTTGAAAAAAAAAAAAAAAAAGCAAATCCTAGTCAAACTTGAAAAGGAACATAACAGGTTATATTTGATTGTCTTAGATGATTTAAGAACCAAAACCAAATGAGACTCTATAAAACGGATTTGGTTTAGCTTTTAGCTCTTATCGTAACTCTAGCTTGGCCAAGTTCCTTTGTTCATGTGGATGTAGTAGTATCGATAAACAGTAAAAAAGAGAAAAAAAATCTACTTTCAATTCTCAAATCCTAACTTCATCACTAAAAAAGCTTCTCACTTCCTCCCTGACTTCTTAAGATTTCAAATGCCTCTTTCAGTGCCTACAATGCATTCAAAGGAAAGTATAGCCATTCAATTTATTATTGTGGGAAAAGATAAACACACATGAACAAACTCAAACCTTATGGAAGAGGGTGTGGTTCTGAAAACACTCGGTGACATAGACCATGTACTTATTGTGTAGCTCAATTAGTAGTTGATTAGTGGTTGCGTCGTCAGCTTGTTTGATAAGAGCACTCCCCTCTTCAGTAATATGCTGTTTTTATACACACATTTTCCAATGAAAACCGATGTGAGTTAAAAAAGAAATTGATTCGGAATCAAACATAAAGTAAGTTTTAAAATAAAATGAAATAAACCTTCTTGAATAAGTCTGCAACACGTCCCAACCTTTGTGGGATTGGATGATAAAGACTGTATATCCTACAGAGATCATTCTTCTGAAAGTATATATGTACCAATGCTCCATCAAAATAGAAAATATCATATGATAATTTGTTTACGAATTATAACCACAAAAAGTCCTCTTTACCTTGTCATCTCTTAGCAATGCACAACACCCTGAATGCTCATTTTCTAGACGGTTTTTTGCAACCATTACCAACAATTCATTTTGTATTTTCTGAATTCAGAAATAACCAAATAAGTTCAATAACTATCATTGTTTGTAACCAGCTCAAAATACAGTAAGAAATAACCAACCTCAACTACTTTGGGTTCAGTACTTGAATGGAGATAGTTAGTGACTCTCTCCCTCTCCCTCTTTAGACTCTCTTCAACCTGCAATACAAAATTAATGACGTTAATATATACACACTTTTTCTGAAATCGAATGATACCATAGTCGTAGTCTCGTAGACATGCCTTTATCATGTAATCAGGACAAGAATCCTCCTCGATCCACCTTGACGCCTTGCGAGAATAGTAAGAAGCAGTATCTTCAAGCATGAAGCTTTCAAAATCCTCTTCATATTTTTCCATAGTTCCCATCCCATTCTCCACATAAATATCTAATACGTTCTTCACCAGTGCCCTATCAATCTGTTCGCCCTCACGTTCTTTATGAATCTGGCAAAACTTATATTGTTAGGCATAAAAACCAAGAATCAAAGTTTTTTTCATTACATATAACAATACTTACAAGTGCTAATACAACTTTTGTGACTGTGGACTGCATCTCATGATAAACCTGAAACAAAAAATTTGCATGGACAGTTACAAATACATATGCGGGATTGAAAAATAAAGAGCTATAGGAATATTCATTACAAACCAGGTCAAGAAAGCATGACAATCCAACTTCATCTAGTGTTGGAATTGGAATCTTACTCCGATGAACGAAGTGACGGTCAATATAACAGAAGAACATGCCTAACCGTTTGACCATATTTTTATGGTTATTCCACCTCTTAACAAGCTCTCTTAGCATATCTTTATCATGCTTCTCCCTTAAAGATGGCAACACCTTAACCACACATAGAAATAAATTATATTCAATCTTTTGCGTTAAAGTTAAGAAAAACAAATATGTATTCTTCACACATTGATATTTTTGTGCACAATATCGAAGAATCTATCAAAAATGAAAAAAATTGGTATACTCACCGTTTGTATAGTATAGTCTTCAATTACTTTACGATACTTATCATATAGCTGCTGTGAGTAATCGGATCTCTGGTTGCACATATCGTAGATAATCCTGTGAATCACATATGAAATTACTGTGGTAGGTACAAAACTCTTAACAACAAACATTACATAAGACTACAAAAATTACGTACGTGTAAAGATTCATATATTCATCATAATCAAATGGTGGTTCAGGCTCTCCTTCTAGAATCCTTATCAGCTTGATAATACCTTTCTGAATGTTGGACCATCCCTGCTCAAATTTAATTTGTCTGTGTTGGGCCATTCTTCTCGAATCTATTTTAAGATCTGTTGAGTCAAATTTTTGGAAGAAAATTAAGATCGCCTATCACAAACTAAATCAAAATAGCGAAATGATAAGATGTTACACGTCCATGGAGGTTACGCGAGATTGAATCAACCACGACATGGATATAGAGTGTAACTTTACTTGATAATATTTCAGGAAGAAAATTAAGATAGTTACAACAAAATGTCTTGATAGCGGTCATTATCGATACTTTTGCAGCCAAATTATATATATTCAAAACCACTTAATCTTATAGTTATCGCCTATCACAAACCAAATCAAAATAGAGAAATGATAAGATGTTACGCGAATCAACCACTTATTTGAAACCACTAAAACCTAAATTGAGATGACGTAAACCTAAATTGATCAGAATCGTGTACATAAACCCTAAAACCTAAAACCTAAGAGTCACGTACCTGAAGATATGGATTCCGATTTCACCGTAATTAAATATGAGAATCGGAGTGCGACTAAAAGACCTACAACTACAAGAGAAACGGAAGTCAAGTATATATAGCCAACGTGGAGAAGGCAGTGGATATATCCTTTTTTATTTGTATATATCCTCAATATATATATATATGTAGTATATATAAAATTCTAGATATATACATTAGAAGAGAAAAGTAGAGAAAATATAAGGTAAAAATTCTAAATATTTAAGTTTCATGTCAGTAGTACTCAAATGTTAGATTCATAAAAAACATATTTGGAAGTTTTTTACTATGCAGCCAACTGATGCGGTGAAGTATAGTTAACAATCACTAGAAAATTGTTGAATCTTGTAAATACCAGATAACCGAACATCCTTAAATCTAATGAATTTTTCAAATTATATCTGAAGACAAGAAAAGAGTTGACAGGAAGACGAAAGCTCTCTCTACTCTCTTGGAAACGAGCAGAACATGATAGCTATTTGGTTGTCTTAGATGATTTATGAAACAATAATGCGACTGTTTTAGCTTTTAGCTCTTTTCTTAGCTATAGACTTTTTACAAAGCGTAAGCTTTTGTAATTCAATGCAAAGAAAGTCATGTGGAGGAGCTCATTGGTATTTAATTTGTCAAGATTTGACAGAGATTGAGAATCATATAATTTATTCAAAACACCATTATATATGGATCTTATAATTGAAAAAAAACTAGATTCTAATGAACAATATATATGCATGGGATAGAAAAATTTGTAAGCTTTTTTGGAAATTAGTATCGTCAAAAGTTATATAATTGGAAACGTTAAAATATATGATTTACAATGTTAAATAGTATTATGCATATCTAATTTTGTTTGTTTGTTTTCAATCGTATGGCAAGTAATAAATAATAAATTTAAGGTATGGCAATTATTAAATTATATATTTTAGACTACCAGAGTTGAATACATTAACATTAACAATATGAAGAAGAAAAGAAATATTCTTTCTCAATTTAGATTTTAGCATAACTTTAATACATTCATCACTCAAGCTTCTTAATTCCTCCCTTCCTTCTTAGGATTTCAATTGCCTATTCCAATGCCTACAATGCATTCAAAGAAAGTATGATTATTCAATATTGTGGAAAAAATGAGACACACTTGAACACATTCAGACCTTATGGAAGATGGTGTTGTTCTGAAAACACTCAGTGACATAGTCTATGTACTTCTCTTGTAGCTCATTTACTACCTGAAGCCATAAAGGCGAATGAAAACTAACATCTAATTTTTCGGCTCCATGTAAAATGATCAAAAAGAATATGAACCTGATTAATAGATGTGTCGGTTTGTTTGATAAGGGAAACCCCCTCTTCAAGAATATGCTATAGAGATACAATTTCAATTAACGCCAATATTGTCATGTAGCAATTAAAATGAATTTATTTGGAAACAAATAAAAAGTGGTTTTGCGATAAATAATAAAACCTGCTTGAATAAGTTTGCAAGAGGTTCCAACCCTTGAGGGATTGGATGATAGAGCCCGTACATCCTAGAGAGATCATTTTTCTGAAAGTAATATAGCAATTAAGAAATATTTTAAGATGATAATTTGCTTCATAAAAATACAAAAATAAAAATAAAAAAGTCGTATAACCTTGTCATCTCTTAGCATTGCACGGAACCCTGAGTGCTCCTTTTCTAGAAGCTGTTTTGCAACCACCACCAACAATTCATTTTGTACTTTCTGCATTCATGGTTTACATATTCATATGCTTGTAACTTGCTCAAAATATGAAACAAATTAATCATAATTCAAAGAATATTGTGTTATAACCAACCTCAAGTAGTTTGGGTTCAGTGGTTGAATGAAGGTAATGAGTGACTCTCTCCCTTTCCATTATTAGAGACTCTTCAGCCTGCAATATAAAACACCTGACGTTAATTAATAAATATAATCGAACGGAAAAACAGTCCCGAAAACGATAACTAGAGGAGACATGCCTTTAGCATGTAATCAGGACAAGAATCCTCGTGGATCCACTTTGACGCCTTGCGAGAATAGTAAGAAGCAGTATCTTGAAGCATGAATCTTTCAAAATCCTCTTCATATTTTTCCATCGTTCCCATCCCATTCTCTACATAGATATGTAATATGTTTATCACTAGTACCCTATCAATCTGTTCGCCCTCACGCTCTTTATGAATTTGGCGATACAAAATTGTGTTAGATAGAATCAGGCTTAACCAAAATTTTCATTTCAGATACTAATACTTACAAGTTCTAATACAGCTTCTTTGGCTATGGAGTGCACCTCACGATAAACCTGAGGTAAATAATATGCAACCACAGTTACAATAACGTACTTTGTAAAAAAATTAGGAGCTATAGGAATGTATGACAAACCAGTTCGTGGAAGCATGTCAAGCCAACTTCTCTCAGTCTTGGAATGCCTCTACGAGCTAAGTAACAGTCAACATCAAGAAAGAATCTTGATAACCATCTAACCAGAATTTTATGGTTATCCCACCTCTTAACAAGCTCTCTTAGCATATTTTCATCATGCTTCTCCCTTAAAGACGGCAACACCTAAACCACACATAATACAAATATTTAAACCTGAATAATATCCAAGAATCAAGCCCAAACTTAAAAACTTGCTACTCACCGTTTGGATAGTATAATCTTCAATTACTTCACGATACTTTTCATAAAGCTGTTTTGAGTAACCAGGAGGGTGGTTGCACATATTGTAGACAGTCCTGCGAATAACATAAGACACGCGGTAAGTACATAACTATTAACAACAAACCTTACATAAGACGACCTACGTACGTATAAAGATTCACATATTGCTCAGCATCAAATGGTGGTTCAGGATCTCCTTCTATAATCTTTATCAGCTTGGTAACACCTTTCTGTATGTAAAGCCATCCTTCCTCAAATGTAATCTCAGTGTGTTGGGCCATCCTTCTTGAATCAAATTCTCTATATTAAAGTAATAGACATGAGAAATTTAGATTTTTTTTATTCATTAAGGGAAGAAACTAAAATAACATTAGAATTTAGTTCTTAACAAGATATCATCGATACTTTAGCAAAACTATAACTAATTATCGATATTTAAAACTAAAACTAACTATCACTATCAAAAGAACAACGACAAGATGATATGTATTCATGGTAATTATGCTAGAAAGAATCATTTAGAGAGAAAGAACAACAAAATTTGGCAAAATCGCAGAAGAAGGCGACGTAACAAAAACATGCACATAAACACGAAAACCTAAGACATCACGTACTTGAAGAATACAAACAGTATGAATCTGATTTCACCGGGGTTAGCTATGCCAATCGAGAAATCTTATATAATGTTTTGAAGAAAAAAGGGCCTAGGAGATTTCTTATATAATGTTGCTACGAGAAGTTTTCGACATTTGAAGCATTGTGCTTGTGCCCCTTAAATTGATTGAGAGCATTAATCATTCTAAGATTTCTTACATAAACACACAATTAAAATGCATTAACAACACAACTAAATAGAATAAAATCCAACCCATTTCAAATTTTTATCATATGATTTAATCAACTACTTTTAATACTTGAGTATGTAAAATTAAATTAGTTATTATTTAAATTAAATATTATATAAGGTATCATACAAGATTTGTTTAATATAAATTAATTTTATAAGATTCTTTACGTAAAAACAGTTATATGTATTAACAATTAAAATATAATAAAATCCAACCTACTTCAAATTACCTTAACTATAACTATACAATCAAATCATTATTTCAGAAGATTAACTAAACAATGAGGAAACTTAAGTTTCATTTTAGGGTTTCTCAATTTATCATATTTTAACATAATTATTATTAATAAGTATACAACCAAATCATTATTTCATAAGGTTAACTAACAATGATGAAATTTAAGTTTCATTTTACGGTTTAGTTTTTCATATTTTAACAAAATAAATGTTATTTACAGTATGTACGCTACATATCACTCCATATCCTATTCTAATATTTGGGAAGTACATCCTAAGGATCATAACGTTGATTTTGTAAGAAGTTACAATATATGCCATTAGAAAATTCTAATTATAATCATTTTATTTCATGTCATTAATATATATTAACGGGTCAACGGGTCAACGGGTCAAATGGGTTTAAAGATATTAAAGAGATTTTGTTTATATATAATCCGAATTTATACAAAAAAAATGTTATATAATTCAAATTTATAAAAAAAAATGTTATTTTGAATTATAGTAATCAGATATTAACGTTCTAAGTTATTAATAAATTATTCAAAAATGTTATTGAAAATGTTATATACTAATCCATTATTCGAAAATGTTATTGAAAATGATATATCATTGAATTTTTTTTATATAAATCGAATTTATAAAGAAAATGTTATTTTGAATTATAGTAATCATATAGTTCGAAAATGTTATTGAAAATGTTATATAAATTTTAATTCCATGTCACTAATATTAACCAATTCATTAGAAAACGGGTCAATGGGTCATACGGGTTTAAAGATATTAAAAGATTACCTAATATATAGGAAGCCAATCACGAATATAACAAACATGGATTTTGTTTAGATACAAATAATTTTTAATCATACAACGAAATTTAGTTTAGATTTTAAAATATTTTCTTAACTAAACTATACTAATTAATTATGATTAATATATATGGAAGAAAAAAACGAAATTGTATATATGTAAACTAATTAAATTTGATAATATATTAATAGATATTTCTAAAATCTCTCAATCGGGATTGTCTCATAAATTTTGTTTACGTGTACTTCGCAGATTGGCAAAGATAAATACATATAGAAATGATATTTTTAATTTACTAAATCAGAAATAAATATAGCATCCTAAATCTTAGTACTTGCCATAACAATTGTATATTTATTCGAATAGATTCAAAACGCAAATTCAAATCCCCTGTATTAAGCAACTACAACAAACACCAATTAAAAAGTCAACAAAATATTCGAATTTTCCTAAAATATAGTTATCATTAACTATTAAATCTAAAATCTTTCAAAAATTGTTAACCACGTAAAGATTTTGTAGTTAAGGAAACAAAAATTTATTTTTGAACATAATTTTGATTTTTAAAAATTCAAATCGTAATGAATCTTGCAACTTATAATTCCGTATATTATGGGAATCAAAGATTTTTCTTTTTCAATCATAAATTTAGTTATATATAAGGATAGTTTTTTAAATTTAATAACAAAATCACCATATTTGTTAAGATCTTAGTAGTTAAATATATCTAGATTAGTCGGCTAAACCTAAATTATGTACAAGCTATCTCTCTATAAATGAAGTTATTTCAAGCTAACTCGGTTTGATTTAAGGTTTTGTGTGCCAAAATAAAGTTAATAATATTATTTTTTCTTTTGTCACTGCAGATAAAAACTCCACTTATCTACACTTATGACATTGATGTGAAGCGTAAAACATCTAAGAGGGAGATTGTGGTGGTTCATGAAGACGCAAGGGCTGATATATAACACAGAGGAACATGGGAAGCTGTTTGGAGAACGATTGAAAACTGTTTTATGATCCGTTTAAAGGTAAAACCAAAGGCATGTATTTTTTATGAGAGAATTTGATACCAAAAATCTATGAAACGTAATTGTGAATGATTCAATGCGTTTCTTTTACAGTAAAACAAATGCAATATGGTCTATGTGTGATGTATTGTATACACGTACGTAATAGTATTGTTCTAACCCTCTTAATTAAATGTTTCATTTAATTATTGTTTATTTACCAATTCTTTCTACATAATTGTAGGAACCATAACTATTACGGGTCATTGGACATTGCCGGAGACTCCATGGTGAAACGGCGGCGGTTGGCCTAAGTCAAGAGAAAATGTTTTTGGTACCTTTTCTGATTTTTTTCCTAAATGCCAACAACTAATTTTTAGTCAATTATTTATTTAAATTTTTCACCCCTTATATTTTGATTGTCTTTTTTTCTAAATGACAAAGTTGAAATCTATTTTTTCAGAGTATTTTTAAAATAGATAGATATTCTGTTTAACTTATTTAAATTTATTTATACAAAAAAATAGAATATCAGTAACCCCTTATTTAACTTTTTCACCCCTTATTGAATGGTATGAAAATAGATATTCTGTTTTTTTAAAAAAAAATTCTTCCTTTTCAACTTCCAAGTCATAAAAAAAAATTGTTGAATCCAAAAACCTCTCATATATTAATCGAGATTTTGTTAATAAATATAACCATTTTTTCATTTCAAGATATTTAGTTTCGTGTTGTAAATAATAGGGTTTTTGGCATTGTTCTTTCTGTTATTGATCAATTGTACAAGATACAACATATATAGGGATACAACATTAGGGTTTATGTTAAAGATTAGCACAAAATATAATTTTTTTTAAAAAAAACCATAAAACTTTGCCAAACAAACCCAAATATAGCCCACTAAAAAACTTAAACCCAATACAACAATTTTATGTTTATTCTCTAATTATCAATACCTACTTAAACTAAATAAATTGTTAATCTCATTAAAAAAATACAAATCTAATGCAGCTAAATATATTAAATTCAAAAATACAATATTCTCTCCTTATTTATTACCAAGTCATGTTTTCAACCAAATTAAGATTTAACAACATTTAATTCCTATAATAAAATTAACCAAATATGATAAGGAAATTAGATCTAAAATTAAGTATCCTATACTAATATTTGGGAAGTACATCCTAAGGATCATAACTTAAATTTTGTAAGAAATTACAATATATGCCATTATATAATTCTAATCATAAAATTTATTCCATGTCACTAATATATATTAACGGGTCAACGGGTCAACATGTTTAAAGATATTAAAAGATTTTGTTTATATAATACATAATTAATATAATTCGAGAATATTATATACCAATCAATATTCGAGATTATATAATATATAAAAATGTTATATAATACATAAAAGATTTTGTTTATATAATATATAAAAATGTTATATACTAATATACTAATATATTATTCGAAAATGTTATTGAAAATTAAAAATGTTATTCAATTTGTTATATAGTAATCCATTATTCGAACATCTTATAAAAAATGTCATTGAAAATGTTAATGAAAATGATATATCATTGAAAACATTTTATATCAGTCCAATTTATAAAAAATAAAAAATGCTATTTTGAATTATAATACCCATATAGTTCGAAAATGTTATATAAATTGAAAATGTTATATAATTCTTCATTTTTTAAAAATGTTACTAAAATTGAAAATGTGTCTACGTTCTTATAACTAAACAAAATTTATTTTCAACTACAATTCGTAATCTTTGACAATATTTTCAGTTTCCTAAACATTTGTTATCATCTTTGACAATATTTTCAGTTTCCTAAACATTTGTTATCATCAATTTCATTGTTTTTGATTAAGCTAAACAATACAATATTTTCAGTTTCCTAAATCTTTGTTTCTGACTTCAGTTGATTATATTGTCTAGGTAGTATATTCATTTTTTAATTACGCGGGTCATTGGGTCATCAGACGGGTTTAATTATACTATCTAAACAATATAATCACATAATTTTGTAATTAATTAATTAGGGAGATTTCGTAAATAATAAAATCAATTCAAACTAATAAGGCAAATCCTATACTATTATTTGGGAAGTACATCCTATAAGTCGTAACGTAAATTTTGTAAGAAATTATAATATATGCCATTAGATATCTCTAATCATAATCATTTTAATTCCATGTCACTAACATTAACAAATTAATTAAAAAACGGGTCAAATAACGAAAAACGGGTTTAAAGATCTTAAAGATATTAGGTTGTTATATTTTGTTTAGATATAAATTCGTATTCAAGCAATTCGTAATCTTTGAGAATATATTCAGTTTTCCTAAAATCTTTGAGAATATATTCAGTTTCCTTAAAACCCTTTATAAAAAAAATAAGTTATAATAGTTGTTATATTCTAGATCGTTTTTTGTTTAGTTTTACGTTTTTTGTTTAGTTTAATCACGCATCAATATAATCAGCTATTCAGTTTCCTTAAAATCTTTTCTAAAGATTGTCAAATCTCTCTGTTATATAATTTTGATCCTATATTCCAAATAATCTAGAATATACCTTTCTAAAATATTATCTAACTATTTTATGTTAATTAATATATTTCTGAATCTCCTAATTATCACAAACAATCTACAACTATAAATATCCATTTAGGCTTGACGTACCTTTCTCACAGAAATCATCTCAGCACCATTCTCATATCCTACAATTAAAAATACAGCAGAAATGGCTATGGTTAGTCCCTACACTCCTATTAACAATTTGAAGCATGTCAAGACTTTTTGCTGTATTCAAGTTAGTATATTTCATTCGTGGATTCATTTTACAAAAGGTTCTGGCATATCTTTAGAAATGATTTTGAAAGATGAGCCTGTAAGTACCATTGAAATTTTATACAATTCTCTTTGTAATATATGTGCCGTAAGTTTTAAGTCATCTTATTTTAATCACAGGGTAACAAAATTCAAGCAGACATCAAATAGGAACAGATCAGCAAATTCCAAAGGTATGTTAAACCGTTTTTTTTCCTTTTTTTAAACCATGAAACTAGGCCCCACAAACCCAATATAATCCATTAAAAAACTTAGACCCAATACAACTATTTTTTTGTTTGTTCACAATCACACAATAAAATTATCAATTCCTAATTGAATCAAAGAAATTATTAATCTCATATAAAAAAATAAAAATCTAATGCTGCTAAATATATTAAATTCTAAAATACAATATTCTCTCCTTCTTTAGTCAAATAAAATATATAACATTATATCCAAATAGTAATAAATATAAAATATTATGATATATTCCCTTTTATATTATACTATTATACTAAATTATTCCTTATTTCTTCGAACAAAATATACAATTTAATTCATGAAAAATATTAAATCCCGTGCTGTATAGCACGGGTCATGATCTAGTACCATATAAAGTTTTAAGAACCAAGCTAATTTGTCTTTTTTGTATGGAAAATATTTGATAGTCTAATCATATATATATATATATATATATATATATATATATATAGTTTAGTTTTAGAGATTTCAATACATTATTAAAAATATATAGAGTCAACTTTATAAAAATAGGCTTTGACGATTCAAACAAGTCTTCAAGCATGGTTAGAGCAGGATTATCGGCAGCCTCTTAGACAAATCTTAGGTTTTAGAATCATTTAATTTAAATAGGAAATGGTGATTAATGCTAAGGAACGTTCCTTAGTTAAGGCACATTTTCTGACTTAAGAGGTGCCACGTGACACGTGATCATTGGGTGTTATAGTGGCAAAACTTTTTTGATTTGCCGACTGCGAAAACAGATGATTAATTTTGATCTGTCTGAGAAATTTCCGATTTGGGCTTGACTAAGATTAAGCATCTGATGAAATTCTTGTTTTTTTTCATCGGAGAAAAGCAAAACGGCGGCGAAGATGGATGTGGCTCGGATAAAGCTTCTAAGGAACAAGAGATTAGTTGTGGTGAAGCAAATGAGGCGTGACATCGCTGTTCTTCTTCAATCCGGTCAAGATGCCACCGCTCGTATTAGAGTATCACTATCCTGCTTCACTTTGTAAGAGTTTTTTCCTCTGCAATTTTCAATTCAATGAAGATTTTGCTTTGTAAGTTATTAATCTCATATTTTTGTTGTGTATCGATGCTTGATCCTCCAATTTGGCATCAAACAGAAGATTTATCGAGAAATGAATGATACAGATTGTTAACAATCACTTTTACAAATAAATTACTTAAATATTGCTAAGAGGTATTTCTAAGAGACTACATATAATCATGCTCTTAGAATCCAGAAGTTAAACTTTCAAAAGCTTAGAATAGTTTTCAGATTCTCGAAAAAATGTTACACTTGACGTAAAATCGTTTTTTTTTTTTTTAATCTAATTAAACATTGCACTTAAAAAAAGAAAAAAAAAGAAGTGATTATCTTAAAACCAACGTGATATGACAATTGGCAAGTGGCTACAAGTGATCCAATGGCCTCAATAATTGCTTATACTGTATGAATTATGGCCACTCATTTTCACTACAGCAGGTCGTCGGATAAGAGTCCACTCTTCTACTCGATATATTAGCAGAGATATCTAGTATCTAGCTAAAACACATAAACAACTCTTCCTCTAAAATATTCATTGGAAGAAAAAAAGCGATTTCGAGAAAAGGTGAGTCATGTTGATTTTATTACTTTTCTTTCTTTAGTTTTATGTGGAAGTAAGTCTCGGATCTTTTGTGTGTATTTGATGCCCTCTAATCGTGTTTAGTTTATGCACATCATGATATGTAATATTCATCTTCCACAATAGAATATATTTTACCTTGTGATGTGAAACAAAACTTTATCATTCTGAAAGATCTTAAAAAATCCTCCATTCTTTATTTAACTATTAAGTGTTCAGATTAATAAAAGAACTGTTTCTAGAGGAAAGTAACAGATTTCTCAACAGAGAAGCCCGAGGCAATGTTATTGACTTAAGCAAAACTAGATTTCACGTATAAAATTTAAACCTTCTTTACACCGAGGCAATGTTAAGCCTGAGTCTTTCTTATCTTCAACTTTTGTAATTTTGTAAAGTACGTTATAATAAAAAAATGCAAGTAGCAATTTTTATGGATTTTTTTTTATTTTTTTGCAAATGGGATGTTGGTTCCTTGCTATTATTTCCTCTCCATCACCTCTAATTTAATACTTACGAATGTTTCCTCTTAAGCAGGACAATTATGGCTGACGCAATTGTATCGTTCGGTGTTGAAAAGCTTTGGGAGCTAATTAGCCAAGAATATGAGCGACTGCGTGGAGTTAAAGAGCAAGTTAATGAGCTAAAAACTGATCTGGACATGTTAATGTCCTTTCTGAGTGATGCGGATGCAAGGAAACAAACAAATGCACTTGCTAGAAACTGCGTGGACAAGGTTAAGGAAATCACTTATGATGCTGAGGATATAATCGAAACATATCTTCTAAAGGGAGAAAGAAGTGAAAACAGTGGCATCAAGAATCACATGAAAAGTCTTGCTTGCATTCCATTTGTTCGTTGGCAGACTGCCTTAGAAATCACAAGCATCAGTAAGAGGATCTCCAAAGTGATCCAGAATATGCAGACTTTAGGCATACAATCAAACAATATTGAAGGTGGGTATGCTCTGGCTCTACAGAATAGGAAAAGGGAGATGCGTCATACATTTTCAAGTGAAATTGAAACTAATCTTGTTGGTTTGGAGAAAAATGTTGCGGGATTGGTTGACGAATTGGTGGGAAATGATAGCAGTTACGGGGTATCTATTACTGGCTTGGGTGGTCTTGGCAAAACCACCCTTGCGCGGCAGGTTTTTAATCATGATAAGGTAAAAGGTCATTTTGATGGACTTGCGTGGGTGTGTGTATCGCAAGAGTTTACACGGAAGGATGTGTGGCAGACCATCTTGGGGAATCTTAGTCCTGGAGATAAAGATTCAAACTTGCGGGAAGACGATATTCAGAAGAAACTCGTTCAGTTGTTGGAAACAAAAAAAGCTTTGATCGTCTTTGATGACTTATGGAAAAAAGAAGACTGGGAGAGAATAAAGCCAATGTTTCCAGAGAGAAAAGGTGACCTCTTTTATTTAGTGCACATACAATAATTAGGCTAATCTGATATGTTTACCATTTGATTTTATCTAAGAAAAGAGATAACAGGGACACAAATTCCTAACAAACACTTTTGTGTGGTTTATTGCAGCTGGTTGGAAGGTACTACTTACTTCACGCAACGACGCAATACATCCACATTGTGTGACCTTCAAACCAGAACTCCTAACTCCTGACGAATGTTGGACACTTTTACAAATGATAGCATTTCCTAAGAACGACACAACAAATGGTAAGCATTTTTTTAGACCGACTATTCATATTAAATCCTATACAATATAATCACATCATTATTTATTCAAATTATTGTCACAAAATTCCCTCTTCTATAATTTTGCAAAAGAAAAAAGGTAAAAAAAAAATTAATGTCTTAATAGGTTAATAAGCATCCTGCTTTCCGAGAAATATAAACAATAAAAAAGAAAAAAGGAAAGGAGAGAGCTCGTATTGAAAAAAAATTAAAAGAAATGTTTGTATTAAATGATTTTACAAAACTGTACGGCGCAGACCTTCATATACAAGTATACAACACATTTGTATTCTCACAAACTCAAACAAAGCCACAAAATAAATTATTATTGCAAATTAAAATAGTAACATAACAAAATTTTCACAAAAATATGTTTTAATTGGTGACCATTTTTGAGGAAAAGAGAAAGGAGTAATATTTTGTTCTTCTTTGTTTCTCAATTTTTTTTTTGACAACAATAATGTTCATCTCCAAAATCATAGAGAAACGATGAGCAAAAATTAAAAAATAATTTTTCATTATTAAATATGTTTATGATCATATTTATATGTATAAATAATTTTTGTATTTTTATTATATATATATATATATATATATATATATATTTTTCATCAAAAGTTTCACTTCAAATGAATGTTGTGCGAGTAAAACCCGCACAAGTAAATTGGAGAGTTAAAAGTAACAAGAAGGATTCAACAAGTGGTATTCTTTCATTGATGTCAAGAATAAACTCGATGATACTACAAGAGTTTCTAACAAGCTTAAGAGACAAGTTAGGGTTTCTTTACAAATAACAAATCTAGGGTTCTCAAGGTGCGAAATTGTCATCCTTTGCTCGATAGTCGAACTTCCTATTTATACCGAAGGTATCTCGGTTTTCGGATATGTTCTTTTTCATTTCTCTGATTGTTTCAATATTCGAGTATATTTGAGTGACTCCTTCCATTTTCACTTTGATCGGTTGCAGGTTACTTAATGCTGACTTAATCGGGCTTTCGATATGTCTAATTTTTCGGTTGGGCCGAGTTCGTGGGCTACTTAATTGGTTTATGTTTAGTTTAAATCAGGTTAACCGGATGGTGCTATTCCACTTTCCTATAAATGTTATGACTTTATTTTAAATTAGTACTGATACCTAAATAAACATAAAAATGTTTTCAAATGGAATTTATATATTTTAGAAAATAAACTATTGAATTTTAGTACAATTATATTTTAAACGAATATTAAATATTAAATTATAAACTAAATTCACTAAATAAATTTTTTAAAATAATCTTTCTGTTAAATCCTATACTATTATTTGGGGAGTACAATTTATAATTACCCTTAATTAACCTTCCCTTTTGAAAGAATTTATTTAAGAATGTCATTAAAAATAAAATTTTATAGAGTAAATTAATTCAACTCATTAAGGAAAAACAAGTCAAATACTATTTTATGAAATTTAATTAATTTAATTTAATTATAAAAACGAAAATATATTATTAATTTCTTTAAAAAGAATGCCCAATCAAAATGAACATATAATATTTTATATCTAACTTACCATATTAATTTGTTATTAATCATTATACTTCACCTCTCATCTTTATATGATTCTATTTCTATAAATAAATAAATCATTATATCATCTATATAATAAAAAAAAAGTAAATTTTTTTCCGCATATACCAAGATTTGAATTTTTAAAAACGAATATAAATTATTCAATGTATGAAAGAACAAATTTAACGGGTCAAAAATTCATATTTGAGTAATATATTCCTTTTTTTTTAATATCATCAATACTTAATAGATCAAAAAATTATGAAGTATAAATACTCTAATTTGGTTTTTGAAACAAATATTTATAATAGGCGGCGGGTTGAATACAATATATTATATGATGAAATGAGTTATGATCCTTATAACTATTTGAATATTTATATTTAATTTCATATCATTTTAAAAAAAAATTCATAATTTTACATACTATAATAAAAAAATTTAAAGATTTTAATTTGGAACATTTTAAAAAAGTTTAATTTAATATATTAATGAATATCATAAATATTTAATAGATTAAAAAGATAAAAAAAAATTATAAATACATTAATTTGATTTTCTAAAAAGATATGTTTAAAATATTTATAGTAGACGGCGGCTTAAATGTAATGTATTATATGGTAGAAAGTTATGATCCTTATAACAGACGGCATTTTAAGATTTTATGATGAGATGAGTTAAATAAGGTTTGACACTTCTAAATATTTGAAAATTTGATTCTGCAAGCAATTTTGAAAATAATAAATAATAGATTGTGCCGCAATATTTTCATAGGGATTGTAAAATGAAAATATAGACTCCACACACGGATTGAATTTGGTATTATTATATACCAAATATATGTTCATAACATATTTGATTATGTGAATAATTGGTAAATTCCGTAATTAGCTCAAACAAATCTCTATTTCAACAACCAATGAATCAAAATTTGAAAAAAATAATTTCCTAAATTAATTCAAAATAATAGCTAATTTTCTTAAGTAATTCAAAATAATCTACGTTTTAGATGCGATTTATTTATGATATTTTGATTTTTGATCTAACTAAATTATATGCACTCTCATTTTGTGGTTGTTAACATAAATTAACTCATTGTTCAAACAATATTATTTTTTTAAAAAATAATCTTATTTTCTGTTTTCATATCTTAAAAAAAATAACCATAATTGAATACTATAGAAAAAGGAAATATATTTATTCTAATATTATTTTTTCACTTACTATTATAATATATCACAATTTTATTCTAAAACATAAAATTTATAAATTTTGTAATAAATGAAATTCAACTCATAATGTAGTACGGGTGATGATCTAGTATTATTCAACCTTTTGGCTACCATTTAGTACAACCGTTTGTTTAGTTCTTCAACTACATATATTCATATTTGTTCCATATTTTCAATATTTTCCTTTTTTCTTTGTTCATTTTCATAATTTTTATTTTTTCTATATTGTTCTTTTTGTGATCACCATCGGAACTAGTGGAAAATCCTGACCCTTTAACTCATGTTCTGTCTTTGAGCTTTGAAGGATTGCCTAATTATTTGCAGGCTCTACAGGATAGAAAAAGGGAGATGCGTCATACATTTCCTATTGAATCTGAAACCAATCTTGTTGGTTTGGAGAAAAATGTTGAGAAATTGGTTGAGGAATTGGTGGGAAACAATAGCAGTCTTGGGGTATCCATAACTGGCTTGGGTGGTCTTGGCAAAACCACCCTTGCACGGCAAGTTTTTAATCATGATAAGGTAAAAAGTCATTTTGATGGACTTGCGTGGGTGTGTGTATCGCAAGAGTTTACACGGAAGCATGTGTGGGAGACCATCTTGAAGAATCTTAGTCATGGAGATTACGTTGCTAACATGAATGAAGACGAACTCCAGGAGAAACTCATTCAACTGTTGGAAACAAAAAAGGCTTTGATCGTCTTTGATGACGTATGGAAAAGTACAGACTGGGACACAATTAAGCGAATGTTTCCAGAGAGAAAAGGTTACCTCTTTTAGTACAATATGTTTTCTTTTTTTTCCCCCTTTAAAGGAAGATAATCCAAAGGGCCACAAATTGCTCATAAACACTTATGTTGCTTAATTGCAGCCGGTTGGAAGGTGCTGCTTACTTCTCGCAATGATGATGTACATCCACAATGTGTGACCTTTAAACCAGAAGGCCTAACTCTTGACGAATGTTGGAAACTTTTACAAATGATAGCATTTCCTAAGAACGGCACAACTGGTAAGCTTTACATAAACCGACCATATATATATACATAAAATCAAACTATTTTATTTAAGAAAATGCTAAACATAGTATAAACCAACTTTGTCCGAAAAAAAAAAGTATAAACCAACAAGTAAAGCAATAGAAATTTACAGAGCCATTAAAAGAAAACTAAAGTAAATTCAGCGAGATCAAGCAAACAAAGGTAAAAAGACTATAAACATAAACAACCACAGATGAGCCAATATTTAAAGTAGTGGATCACGAGTAACACAATTGACTAGTTAATTAGATTAACAACTGGATTATGATGCTAAGGTATTATTCATAAAAGGAAAAAAGATACTAAGCTACACGAAGTATAACAGAATACATGACTACACATGCCAAGTTTAGAAATGTATAACCAACTACACGAACTAAATATATTGCATGCCCACATATACCAACTATATGACGACATGTGGTCAACATCACGAACATTTTATTCTGGTACACCAATCATCAAAATCCGGCGTTGACCATCGTTGACCGGTATTGACCGGCATTGACCAACAAAAATATTCAAAAAAATAATTTTATTTATTTTAAAAGAATTATTCTATTGAATCATATATGGTGTTGTATAATAATAAAAAAACACATTCTATATTTAACAAAAAATATTTTGTATGATTCCAATAATTAGTTAATTTTTTCAACTTCAAAACTAAATTAAAATTGAAATAAAATAAATTTTATTAGAAAAATTGAGTATATGACTCTTTAATCTAAAGTTGGCATGGTAAAAAATACTCGAGCAAAGTCAATCCAACTGGATTATGATGCATTATTCATAAAACTCAATCCTAGGATATGAAACACACGAGCAAAGTCAATCCACTTCCATGACACCAACTACTTCGTTAATCACTTAGTTAAACTAAGCTCATATTTTCAAATTAGACAGTCACCAAGCATAAATTACAAATTCTTTTTATCAAAACATGAAGATATTTTGATGATTCTAAATTATTTCAAAAAGTGAAAGAACCAAGCTCACTAAATCACTAGAATCTTTGATTCAATTAATACTTAAGAAAGCCATCTACGATATCTCAAACACGTCTGGTTTCACTATATCTTAAAATTGAAGATCCTACGCTAATTGATATTTGACTGCGTAATGTTGTGTAGGATATATAATTGATAAAGATATGGTAGAGATGGCTAAGGAGATGATTAAACATTGTGGAGGACTACCATTGGCTGTCAAAGTGTTAGGAGGGTTGTTAGCTGCACAACACACACCACGTCAGTGGAAAATGATATCTGAGAATATTAAATCTCACATAGTTGGAGGTGGAATTAGTTCCAATGATGACGATAGCAGTTCGGTTAATCATGTTCTGTCTTTGAGCTTTGAAGGATTGCCTAATTATTTGAAGAACTGCTTACTCTACCTAGCCTCTTTTCCAGAAGATCATAAAATAGAATTAGAGAGATTGTCTTATGTCTGGGCTGCAGAAGGAATAACAAATCCTAGGCATTACGAGGGAGCTTACATTCGAGATGTTGCGGATCTCTACATAGAAGAGTTAGTGAAGAGAAATATGGTTATTTCTGAAAGAGACGTGTTGACTTCGAGATTTGAAATTTGTCAGTTGCATGACTTGATGAGAGAGATATGTTTGTTAAAAGCCAAGGAAGAGAACTTTCTGCAGATTGTTAGTGATCGAACCTGCAGCTCAAGCGTACACTCTCAAGCTTCTAGCAAATCACGTAGACTCGTCGTGTACTGTACCGATACTTTTAATGGAGAGAGGGAGATGAAGAATTCCAAACTTAGATCTCTCTTGTTTATTCCAGTTGATTATTGGTTTATGAGGAGATCAATAAAATTCATGGAGTTACCATTGTTGAGGGTTTTAGATCTCAGTGGAGCTGAATTTAAGGGAGGGAAGTTACCCTCTAGCATTGGAAAGCTCATCCACTTGAAGTATTTGAGTTTATATGAGGCATATGTAACTCATCTACCTTCATCTTTGCGGAACTTGAAGTCGCTGCTCTATCTTAATCTAAATACCTCCATTCTGACTGACGTGCCCAATGTCTTTAAAGAGATGCTAGAACTGAGATACCTCTGTTTACCATGGAGAATATCTACTCAAATTTGGAGACGTTGAAGAATTTCTCAACAGAGAATAGCAGTGTGACGGATCTTCACTGTATGAATAGGCTAAGGAGTCTCGATATCTTAATCAGTGGCGAGTGGTGGCGTATGGAAACTCTATCTTCAACTCTAAGTAAATTGGGATACTTAAAAGATCTTACTATAAGATCTTCCTGGAATTATCTCAAACACCCGAAGTTGATGTTACCTGAGGTGCAACATTTTCCTTCTCATCTTACAACCATATCTCTAGACTCTTGTCGTTTGGAAGAGGATCCAATGCCAATTCTAGAGAAACTGCTACAATTGAAAGTGGTTTCTTTATGGTGGAAAGCTTATGTTGGGGGGAAAATGGTTTGCTCCAGCGGTGGGTTTCCTCAATTGCAGGGGCTGTACTTATTTGGACAACATGAATGGGAAGAGTGGATAGTAGAAGAAGGCTCCATGCCACGGCTTCATACTCTTGATATTGAAGACTGTGAGAAATTAAAGGAGCTTCCAGATGAGCTGAGATTTATCACTTCATTGAAGAAATTGACTATCGACACAAATGAAAGAGAATTTGAGAAGAAAGTTTCCAAAGGAGGAGAAGATTACTATAAAATCCAACACATTCCTCTTATTCAATATAAATGGCCACTAGAACCAGAAGACAGCGAGGTAATAATATATTCTTTTCCCAGTCCAATAATCTGAGAAACAATTTCATAAAACAGCGAATGATGATGGCTCGACTTATTTTTTCTGATGGAAAACAAATTTGATTATGCACTTTCATGGAAATTTAATCAGTGATCTCTCTATGTTTTTCAGGTCAATGATATCTTCTCCATTGGACTGTGAGGCTATATATATACACTTATAATATAATAATAATAATCTCTTTTGATTGTGTTGATGTGTTTTGGTTCCCAATCAAATTATTGGCTACTGTTCCACCACTATACTAAGGTTGCTGATTCTGTGTTAAAACAAGTTACTCGGTCTGCTTTCTATTGTATTTATCAAATTGATTATCTTTTTGTGTTACACACTTTTTTTGAAATGGAACCCTCCTTTGTCTTTCTTCTGAAATGCAACATCGGTGTAACATGGAGTAGTAGGGCGAATGGAATTTCAGGAGCTTTGTGGGATTTGCGTGATACCAAAACTGTTGTTGTCCTCCACAGTGAATGGGCTTTCTCATCAATAAGCTCGGAAGCTTGTCATGTGCGGTCAAGAGCATTCAAAATTATGATGAGACAATGATATAAGACAGCATAAAAGCTATACGAAGCTTCCGAAATCTTTACCAATCAGGAATTAGAAACTTTGATTGATTCATGTAAGTGTACAACTTATCTTAGAAGAGTATAAACATATTTGGTGTCAGCCGAAGTTAGACATGTGTGTCCTGTGATTCTTTGGACTTGTGGAAAATTAGAAACAAATTGGCTTTTGAAGGCGTGCCAATTATTCCACCAGATGCAGTGATTAAGAACACATAAAAGAACAAAATCGTGTATATGTTGCTTTTAAAAGGAACTCTCTTTTGTCTTCATTTTGAAATGCAATATCATCAGTTTTATGTGGAGTAGGACGAATGGAATTTCAAGAGCATGCATAGCATGCAAATTTTGATGAGACAATGGTATAAAAACTATACAAAGCTTCCCAAGTCTTTATCCATCAGGAATTAGAAAATTTGATTGATACGTAAACTTGCAATTGCAAATTATGATGACATATCCATCAGGAATTAGAAAATTTGATTGATACGTAAACTTGCAATTGGAAATTATGATGACATTTTTCATACTCATGTATTTTTGTTTTATCTTATTTTATACAAATGTATGACTTTCGAATGAATTTATAAGATGTTTAGCAACTGTTTCAACGCTACTTAAATAAATCTAACGTTCTTTTGTTTTGTTTTAGGCGAGTTAAGCAAATGTTTAATTTGTATAATCTTTGATTTTTTTTTTTTTTGTGTTTGTTTGTATTCAAACTTGTTCAACGGGAGATAGTAACAGATGTAATTTACAAAGATTTGGTTCTAACAATCATTTAACACTTTTACTATAAACCATTTAACATATTTAGACACATTTAATGGATTTCAGTTTACAGTTTTACACATTTTATGTAATTAGGTGTCTCGATAATGGTGACTTTGTAATGGTAAGATGAAATCGATTTCAAAGCTCCAAACTTTCCGGTCATTATGTAAAAGATATTTGCTTCTACGTCTCTCTAAGATTATACACTATATTTTGGTCACTGAATTTGTAATCTGCGTAATAGAATTGGTTAATCAAACTGTTAAGTTTAGTTGGTTTTTCTCACTCGATTGATTCAAGCTGTGAAAATTACAATAATTTGTCTATTATAGAAAGAATAAATTATCTATGGGTTTTATCAATTAATAATCTAAATGTATCAATGATCTATCGCTTCAGTATTTTAAATATCGATCCCACGAAAAATAAAGATTGCAACACTAGGGATGGGAGATTCAAACTAATCTAGAGCAAATGGTTTTTATCTTTTTGTTTTGATTAAAAGCTAAGAAATGAAAGAAGTAAAACAAAAAAAAAGCATTGGACTATGGGTTAACTATCATGAGAATGGGTTAACAATCAAATAATGATGATGTAAGAGATTGAATTAAGCACCATCCTAAAACATGAAACTCACAAATATGACTAATCCACTTCCGTGGCACTAATCATCAACAACTTCCGTTCACAATCAAATGATCAATGAGCGTTAATAACAAGTTCAATTGGTTCACTAAACACTCTAATCATCAATTTCCGTTGGGTAAATATGTAAAGCTCATAAAGATTTGTTTCAACCATTTTCACAAACACCTTCCGAACATAAATTATTTAAGGTTTAGATTTTGAGTGATCAAGTCAAAACTAACATTAAGAGCAACCTAGATGAAGGATCTAACAATAGTAAACCTAAATCATTATCATCTAACCATCAAATTATCCTAATCTAGCATAAACCATGATCAAACAAAAAGACTAAATACTAAACATGGTGGAAAGATAAAAGAGAAATGCATAAACATAAAGATAAAATATAGAGATGAAGAATCCTTCACTATAGTGGCATGAATTATTGAAGATCAATCCAAAATATCAAGAAAAAAGTTTGGATCTAAATCCAACTCTAGAGAAGAAAACTTAGGTTATAAGATGTCTAAATATTGCTTATATACAAAATAGGATCGAACCGGGTCGACCCGAGATAAACCGGGTCAAACCCAAAAGCTTCTACTGATGCATCGGTCGATTGCTCCCTCGACTGTCTCTCGTCCGCGGCCTGTTCTCGTTCCAATCGATCAGTAAATCAACCAACAGGTCGATTGAAATGTTCGGTGGCTCCTCCTTTGTTCTTTTCCGCGCTAGAGTGATATATGTCCATTAAAACCACCATAACTATTGCATCGCAGCTCGATTGGCTTTAAATCACATCCATTAGAAAGATAACTCAATTTCCTATAAGTTTCATGAATTGCTCCGAAGCTAAATCACAATGAAAAAGCTTCATCTGAGTCGATCTTTGAGGGATTTCGGATTGGTTCTGAATCATCAATTCTCTTCTTTGCATCCAAATGTGTGTCCTCCATTATTTTTACTTGAAATAGCTCAAAAGACACACAAAACACACCAAAATACACACAAAGACACTATACGATTTTTAAAATGCCTGAAAACTCACTTGGACACTAAATGCAACAAAACACAATGAAAATACTAATGAAACACAATATAATTGAACTTAACAACCATAAGAAAGCAGTAAATATAGAGTATATCATAGAATCATAATCTTTTACCATCTCGACAAGTTTTTAATCACGATATGGTACAAAAACCATTTCGTTGGATACGTGTTTCACAGCTGTTTACAAGAAAATATATGTGGGTGTGGCAAACCATCTTGGAGAGGCTTAGTCCAAAACATGATGAACATAGAGAGGTAGAGATGACTGAGGGCGAGCTCAAGGGAAAACTCTTCGGGATATTGGAGACAAGCAAGTCTTACGCGAATTCCCA